TCGATCATCGGGACGTCTCGTCGAGGTCGGCCTCGTGGGGCGACCTTGCCCGTGCAGTACGGGCTGTGCAAGGCGTGAGTCTTCGACGAGCACCAGTCGCGAGTGTAACTCGTCGACTAGTGCTCGGAGATTCTCCAAAGACTGGCTGACTCGATCGAACCTCCCTTCACGTAGGGAGCGGAGCTCGTCTATACATCGCGAGTAGACGGCGTCCGTCACGTCTATACGGAGTGAAGTACGCACTTCCTCGATGTAGTCAGCTATGCGGTCGAACATCGCAGCCGCTTGTTCTTCGGGGGACTCGGGCGACGGTTCGCGGTCTGGGAGACCAGCGTCGCCGTCGGCGAACGGCGGTGATGGTGCGTGCATATCGGCCGCCCTCGGATCTGCCGGTTCGGATCTGATCGAGGTGGCGTATTCTTGACTCATCTCAACGCGTACGGACGCGGAGGAAAAAGAAAGTCTTCTCGGAAAGATCTCGGGGTCTTCTAGGTCGGGAGACCGCTGTAGAATAAACACCCCCCAGACGAATGGAGGTGTATGCGCAGTTCGACCTGTAGACCCCGTTCGAACGGGAAGACGGGTGAAGCACCAGCTAACGAGGCAGGGAAGTGGGCCCTAGTAGCGGTGTGGTAGAGCGGGAAGGTCGGGGACGAGCGTACGCGCGGGCCGATCTACGCCTCGACGCCCCGGAGCAGCGCTGGGTAACGTACCAGCGCTGACGGGCGGAGGTGGATCTAGGCTCGCTCGCGCACGCGTGTGTCCCGTACCCGCTCCCTTCTTCCTAACGCGCGCGAAGGCGAAGGCGCGTTGTTAGAATGAGCTGGGTGGACTGACCTTGGCGGTCGGTTGACGACAAGTCCGTCCTTGTCCTCTCCCCTCCGCCGTCGGTCCGCTCATATTTAATATACAAACCTCTATAATAACACTACAGTACCGAGGTACTGTAGTGGTCTACTGTAGTGCAGGTCGGCCTGCACTGTACGGTGTCAGCATCGGTGCTGACAGTACACGTGGTACCGGTGTGTGCGCGCTTCGTACGCGCCTGGTACACGTGTGCACGTGTGCTGTGGGCACACGTGGACACGCTCGGTGGTACTGTAGAGCGTCGGGCTCTACAGTAACTAAATCAATCGTGATCTAATCTAAAGTGAGTCCCCCAGGGGGGGTTATGCTACACCCCTCAGGCCGTCAAGAAGACGAAACACATCGCCCTTTCGACTGGGAACTATTCTATCCTTGTGGCGAGCTACACCCAGTTACTGGATTTAGTGCAACCAAAGAATGAGTGTAATAACGGAAATAAAGTGTGTTACATTAATACAGGTACACCGGAGAAGCTTCAGAAAACAATTAGTGTAAGTATCTCGAACCAGCCTGTCTTTCAATCTGCCGCTGGCGGCCGACGACGGCGGCCGACAATTAATTTGCTTTTATGGGCGGTGTAGTACATGCTGCACAAGTTGTATCGCGCAATCGGCACTGCTACCAACTGCGATCGTGGACCTTCTTGTGGGATAACTCCTCTCCGCCCTGGGTTGGGTGAGAGGCGGAAGCTATAGCGAGGGAGCACGCGGCGTGGACGCGACGCGCTAATTGAACCGATCGGACGAGCTCGTGAAAAGGGAGTGGCTCACTGGCCGGTTACGCGCAGTCGCCCCGTGGCGCGTGAACGGGAGCGACCGGTAACGGGTTAGAAGCCAGCGCGCGCGATAGACAACCGAAACGGACGTATATAGGCGCGAAAGGGACGGGGGCGAGCTTGCCTACTACTACCGCACGGACGCTGCTGCTACACGTGTGCACTACTGTACACGCGTGTTGCTTACAGACTACCGCACGGACGACACGTGTGCCAACGCGCACTCTTAACACCCGTAGACTACCGCACGGACGACACGTGTGCTACTGTACACGTGCGCCACACCACGGCCGGTCCGTCAACGCGCGCGCTCCCTACACGTGGGCACACCCGCCCACGTGTGCACCGTGCACGGCTGCACGGTTAATACCCTCCCCACGCGCTCGCCGGTCGTTATACTACACTTCTCACTTCCACAATTCTAACCAACTCTCCAGCAATGGTTTCAGATTCTCCTATCATTGCTTGCTTTGAGCGTGCCGCTGCGAATCGCGCTGCAGCAACAGGAGCCGACCAAAGCCGCAGTGCAAATCAAACCGCCAATTTTCTCACTGATTCTGCAGCAGTCTATGAGTCAAACAATGGAACGCCTGGGGAAGTAATTGGAAAGCGCAACTTGCAACACGTCCTCACAGTTGCACAGCGCGCTCAAATTGTGGCATGGATGAAGAACGTTGCTGCACGGGACGGAGACAAGCACGTCCTGTCTAAACCAGTTCTAAATTTCCCGCAATTCTTCCGTACTTCTGCGAATGCCAACCTAGTTCGTGCAACACGCTTGTGGGCCGACCGGACTAACTATGAAAACACCAATAGAGAGGTGATTTATCGCGGGTCGTCCTCTTCACTGACCCGCGTGACCAGGCTGGGGCTCCGACGAGTCAGGATGAAGGTGCGATCAGGTCGGGGACGTAAGCAACAGGCGTGGGTGGAGGCCCTACATCAGGATGTGCGCAGCGAATTCGACCACTTGCGAAAACTCGGCGTCAAATTCAACCTCCGCACGCTCCGTGCTCTTTCCAATTTTATTCTGGATTCAGGCGGAAATGAAGCGTACAGTCGCAACTTAATCAATTCCTTGTCTGGAGGACCGCTTTTTGAGAAGATTAATGCTCGATGGGTTCAGTCCTTTGCAGAACGCTTTCGAATAGTGAGCAGGGGGCATACTGGGAAGCACCGCATGAGCCCTGTCAAAGAACCTACGATCGAACGCGTAGTGACTTATCATCTCAGTATGCGTTCCTGTGTGATGACAGCTGGAGAAATTGATGAAAACGATCTGGAGAATGCGGATGAAACTCACTTCTTCATAAATATGGATAATGGTCGCACGTTGGGATTTGCTGGGGCCACAGAGATCAAATATGCGGACGTTGTCTCCGGTGGCGAAGGAATGAAAATGGTGGTACGGCTCACTAGCGGCAGGGACGCAAGGATTGAGCCACCGTTTATGGTTTTTATGAATAAGGACCGCAATTATCCTATCCGTGGTACGCCTGATGATCGCCCAGATGTTGCCTACAGGACAGGTCCTAAGGGTTGGATGGATACGAAAGTCATGCCTGAATGGTTATCAGAAAACCGTGTAATTTCTGCACTCCCAAACGGCCGTCGGCGTATTTTATTTCTGGACAACTGCAGCGGGCATAACAATACAAACGCCCTCGATATTGCGACACAGAAAATTTGAACATGAATTCGGTACTCCCCGGCAATCGCAACATATCTCATCCAGCCGTGTGATTCTTTTGTTATACAAAGATAAAAAGCGCATGGAGTACGCGATGGGAATATTCAAGATGGAAATGGTGCGCAAGAATATGTGGAAAGACAAGTCAGGACGTTTGCTTAACCCATGAAAAACTTTTTTCTTCGTCTTGCCGCCGATTCTGTGGCAGACATAAATAGACAGCGTGAATCAGATGGTCTCAGCTTCGCGTGGAAAGCAATGATCATGACCGGGATGGCCGTAAATACTAACGGCCGGTGGGAGTAAAAACAGCTTTCTCCAGAGCTTCAGCGCATAATCCGGGATCACAGAGAGTACTTTGAGGGTAAGGAAGTAGCAGAAGGTACTGTTGATGACAACTGAAGTAAAAGAACAGCAGGTGCCCTCTTCTTGATTTGTGACAGTATTTTGGTGAGAGTTATATAATGTAAGAAACACTATTACCGTTTAACAATAGGTCTTTCTCGCAAAGACTGGGAAACTACGCAATGACGAGTGAGGTGTATATTGTTTGATTGGCATCGGATGGGACTAACGCTTACAATGCGCGACTGAGAATTTGGCAATTAATTAGCACAATTTGTAGCCATTTATTTTTCGGGTTGGAAGTGATTCATTACAGAACTATTCAATCGCACTGTAGTCATTGCCTCATATATCAGCATCGGGGTCGCGATCTGGCATTCCAGCTCTGTGCAACTGCAGGGACATGCGCCTCGCACGCTTCCGACGATAGCGCTCCTGGGACTGCCGTCGGTGTGCCGGAGTCAAGAGAGCAGAGGCCGGAACAGATCAGAGGGGCAGGAGGGGGACAGAGGAGCGGGTCGGCGTTGCAGGGGGGATGAGGAAGCAGATCATGGGAGCGAGAGGGGGTGGAGGAGCGGATCGGGGGAGCGAGTGTGGGGTGGAGGAGCAGGTCGGAGGGGCAGATGACAGATGGAGGAGCAAGTGGGAGGGGCGAGTTTGGGGATTGTGGAGTAGATTGGGGGGCCGGGGGTGTGTGGCGGCTCCGATACGGGCGAAGGGGTTGTGTTATTGTCGAAAGACTTGGGCATTTGACAAAAGCCTCGGTCAGGGAATGGGGTGGCCTGAGGCTGCTCAATCACAATAAGCTCATGAAGCTACCACGTAATTGTGGTCGTGCTGCCCCTTGCTGTAGAATAGCTGCGTACTGAATTATGGCACTGTAAATATGTACTGTTGGAAACGTATCCAATTGTGGATGTATTTATTGATGATGATTGATTCTTACGGCTTATACCCCATAACTACGTGGAAGGCCTAATGTATAGTGTACAGTGCTGGCCAAAATGATAGGGACACAGGCTATTCGCACTGTGGCAGCCCCTTTTTGCTCCAATGATAGAAGAGAAGAGGCTCTGTACACGTATTGGGCGAGCTAAACGTGATGGAAAAGACGGTTTTATAGAATAAAAAAAAGCCTTGGAGCTATAAGGCAAAAACGTGTTTACGGCATGGCCATAATGATAGGGACAACAGGAACTAACTCGCGTTTTGGCGCAAAACGCAAACTGCGTTCCGCCGAAAGGCGTAAAGGCCATGCTAAGGCTACACTCGAGGGGTCTGCAGACGGTTGTGCAGAAAACAGTCGGTTGGTAGCTCGGAGAAATGGGAAGAGGCAAAGTCCTGAACGAGCACGAAAAGGGGCTTATCGCTGGTCTTTCTCAAGGCGGTAGAACCATTCGAGACATCGCTGCTCGTGTGCAGCGCTCCAAGAACGTAGTTTCTAACTTCCTGCGCGCGCCGTTGGAATTTGGGAGAAAAAAATCGCCAGGAAGACCGCAAAAGCTATCCCCTACCGACAAGAGAAGGTTACTTCGGGCTGCTTCAAATGAAACAAAAGGCTCTAACACGCTTCGTCAGGAGCTGGGACTCTCTGTTGCCTCACGGTCAATCTACCGCACGCTGCACAACGACCCGAACTTCCAATTCAAGAAGATGGTGTCGGCTCCAATGATGCTGCCCCGTCATCTTGTCGCTCGTGAAAATTTTGCGAGCGAGAAGCTGACATGGTGTCCTGCAGATTGGTATAAAGTCATCTGGTCCGACGAGAAAAAGTTCAATCTCGACGGACCAGATGGCTTGGCCTTCTATTGGCACGACTTGAGGAAGGACAAGCGCATATTCTCGAGAAGGCAAGGAGGTGGGAATTCGGTCATGTTTTGGGGGGCTTTTTGTGGGACGAAGAAATGCGAATTGGTGTTGCTCGAAGGAAATAAGAACGCAGAGGACTACATACAGACATTAGAAAGTTATTTGCTACCGTTTATTGATCAGGAGCTGGACGCAGGATGGATATACATGCATGACGGAGCTTCTATTCACAGGGCACATCGGGTCAGGCAGTTTTTTGAGGAGGAAGAGGTGCCAGTTATGGACTGGCCGGCAAAGTCCCCGGACTTAAATCCTATAGAGAATCTCTGGGGTCTGTTGGCACGTGCTGTATACGTTGGTTGTCGTCAATTTAACAACGTCGAAGAGCTTAAAGAGGCCGTTTGGGAAGCCTGGGATAACATCACAACGGACACACTGAAATCCCTTTTGGGGTCCATGCAACGACGCTGCAGGGACTGTTACCTTGCCAAGGGAGGTGCTACGAAGTACTGAGGTGAGTATTGCGCATACATGGGGTCCAGATAATGGGGTAGATGTCTTGTCCCTATCATTATGGCCATGCCGTAAACACGTTTTGCCTTATAGTTCCGAGGCTGTTTTTTGTTCTATAAAACCGTTTTTTCTATCACGTTTAGCTCTCCCAATACGTGTGCAGAGCCTCTTCTCATTTATCATTGGAGCAAAAGGGGGCTGCCACAGTGCGAATGGCCTGTGTCCCTATCATTTTGGCCAGCACTGTAAGTACGGTAATAATGTAACACACATTAACTTGTGTTCATTTGAAAATGGATTGGACACTCAAATGGTGTGTGTTACACTAAATCCAGTAACTGGGTGTACAATATTCGCTTCAGCGAGTATTCGCCCAGGTGCACGTGATCCGTCGGACGGCACAACGATGTACCAGACTTGCGTTTGTTGCGGGCAGGTACCTTGCTGGAGGTCAGTCCGCAAAACTCGTGGTGGGATTTTTCAAACTCGGGTTTACTTTACGTCCAGCGAGTTTGTGGGCAAATGGGAAAAACAACGCGTTATTTTACGGACAACGTTAATGTATACATTTTTGCAAAAAAAGCTCGCCCTAGTTGAGGCCATACATGATCTCATAGAGTATGAGGCAAATCCCTTTTCGTCTCCCTCTGTAGTGTCTATTGAGAGAGTAGAGTAATCACTTAGAAACTGCGATCCAATTGAAAACCAATTCCCGTTTTAGGAGAAGGCATTTCACCAAGAAGCGCTAGTATGCTTTATCCTCGAGGTCGAGTATTGCCAGTTTGCCCGTCCCCCATCCGCAACGCTCTCAATCCGTGCAATAGCGCCTTGCTCAGGAGATGGAAAGTCTTTCTGCGCGGCTAGTCCTCACAGCCGTTATGGGGTTGGGTCTGGCCCTTCTCTCCCTTCCATCCCGTCTTTCCGCTTCTCGTCCTCATGGTATTTGCATGCTCAACCCCACATTATTCTCATTATGTCTTCGCTTTCAAAAATCTGTCCCCTCCTCCGCTGCAGACCTCACACACGCCCTGACAAACATGCGTTCTTCGTCGAACTCTGAGCCATTAGCGTTCGAGTATGCTGCCGCCTGGCTAATACGTCACTCTTTCTCTGTCAAGCGACAACCTCTTTCTAAGCCGTCAAAGAACGGACCGCGTCGCGAAAACCTACTGGCCATGTGGCGTAATAGCGACCCTGCAAAACTCCAGGTCCTGCTGTGCACGCATCTCGACCTTGTGCCCGGAAGTGGCCGTCCTATAGGCACTCCGTCTCGTGATGGCGACCGCCTTCGCGGTCGGGGAACTGTCGATGCCCGCGGGCAAGCAGCAGGTATGATGCTTTCATTAAAGGAGCTGCGGGATAGTAGGGTTGGGCTCTTGTTAGTCTCGGGAGAGGAGACCGACCATGCCGGCATGCTCGCCGCCGCAGATCTCGGCTTTGGCTCGCATCTTATCCTTGTCAATGGGGAGCCAACGGAAAGCCAGCTGGGAACAGTCCAGAAGGGCATGGCGAAAATATTGATCCGAGCAAGCGGTAAAGCTGCCCATAGCGGGTATCCTGAGCTAGGTGAAAGCGCTGTGCATAAACTGGTTGCTTTACTCGGTGACTTATCGCGGGAACAATGGCCAAAGAAGGATGGAGAACACACTACCATGAACGTCGGTAAGATAGCAGGTGCACAAGGACCCCGTCCTCTCCTGTGAACGTGTTGTCCTTCTTCACCTTAGGCGGAATATCTCTCCTAATCTCGAGAGGGTGAGCCTTATCGCAAGTGCGTATGATAATGTTACTGTCGAAGCGCTCACTAACAACGGGCCAGTGGAATTTTTGGTCCCGCAACACGCTGCGGAGACATTCGGAACTACGACTGTTGCGTACAACACTGATGTACCGTACTATCGCAGTGAGTACAAGGCAGCTGTCTTGTTCGGAGCCGGCAGCATCAAACAAGCCCACACCAGTGACGAATATGCCAATATTGCTGAACTCAATCGGTTGCCAGGGAGATTAACATCCATTGTTAGAGAACTATTACCTACTCATTGAGTGGAACTGAAGTTGCCGCACTGCTTTAGCCTTGGCAGCTAAACTTGGCACTCAAACTGATGTTTTCGCAACGAGCAGATTCTAGAGGACGGCCTATTTCCCGGGAGAGTGCATCGAAGACTGCAGTCTTCACAAGACCATGACACAATAATCTGCAACTACTGTTGCCATCTAGAAGTCACACGCGCAGCAATACGCGATTCAATCTGCCTCAGGCACCAACGCACACCACCTTGTGGATACTGCCATCAGTACCAAGGAAGTACCATGCACCCACAAGAGGATTCCGATGCGGTGTGCGGGGGCTGCCCTAATGGGTGATGTACTCTTCACGTCTAGGAGTCTTGTAGCTTTGAGACTGTTTTTCGTTGACAATATGCGAAGATGTTCCCATCAGCAAACTGAAAATGGACGTACTTGGTTCGCCCATGTCGACAGATAGAGGATTGTCACTGCTATTTTCAGAAACACTGTTTTGGTCTTTTTGGTCAGCGTATCCTTGGAAGCTACTATTCATGTCTTGACCTTGTTTTGCCGAGCAAAGTACGAAGAAGGCGTCGTGTGAGTCGGATGACTACTTCAAGAACTTAACGAAAACTAGAGTGGTGAGCAGAAAACACGTCACCAGAGTCACGACGCGGCATACCTAAGGCATTCCTCGCAGTAAAAACGACAGAATCCAACGCTGCCATGACGATGTTTCTGGATCTCTTCTTCTTCTCTCCGCCTTCCATTGTCTCTCGGCCGTATGTTTGGCCTGATTGAGGGGGCCCGGCAGCGCTTGGCAGCACGGAGTCGTTGACTGTAAGTGAGCAGAAGAACGCACACGGCACGAGCCAAACGATGAGTAGGAAGAACGAGGCCATTGCTGGCGCTGGTGCGACACGATAGCGATAGAAAAGCTCGGCATCGGAATGAAAAAACCGGAACCATGAATAATTGGATAAGGCAAACATTAGGCACGACAGAATAAATGCCGTGGAGGCAGGTTCAATGAATGGAAACGAGCGCAGCAGCATCAAATACACGAGATGGGAAGCAAACCCAACCGCGCATTGTGAAAATGGAAAACGCTCATACGTCCAGAGAAAGAAATGCAATGGGAACTGGGCGAGTATTGTTACTCGGATCAACTTCTTCGTGAAGATAGTATACTCCTCTGCTAGCTCAACCAAATAGTACAGTCCACACGCAAGACAGACGGCTGCAAACAGAAGAAAGAGGTAACCCGAGATATACACCACCAAAACAAAAAGTGATGGCGGATTCATGGCTGCATGAACTAGGTGAGCTCCTTCGGATGGCCGCACCACGTCAATTAGAGTTGTTTCTTGGAGGAGGTGCAAGCAATTCTTGTGCGACCCCAGATAGCAGAAGAGCTCTGCGACAGTAGTGAAGACGGAGGCGACTTCGAGAAGTCTAATCCAGCGAAGATACGCGAAGTCGAAATATGTTGAGATTGAATGTGATGGTTTGGATACAACGCAGTGTGGGAGACGGCTCCAAAGACAGGACTTTTTTTTCGCGTGTGCGGTTTATGCAAAAACAGTCAGAACAACGTGTACAATACAGTAACACTGTAAACGCCTGTCCCTTTGCGTTTTTTCCTTCAATTTCGTCCCGGATTGGATCTTGCGCCTCATTCAAGATATTTCTTCTGGAATTTCCCCTCTCAATTGTTGTGCGATAAGAAGGAGGGAGATGCTACCCTCGACACTCCCACTGGATTGCGCGTTACGGCAAACCACATCCCAGTGAGAAATTCCAGTCCTTCCCAAAGATATGTCGGAAATTATCGCGAAGAGGAACATGTGAATATGCTTGTATCTCTGATCCTATGTCTTCGAAACCAAAATGACGTTTTTAACTATCCGGCTCAAACTTTACACTTGAGTGTTCTTTGTCATTTGCCCGCAATGCGTTTAAAACTGGTATCTTGTGGGGATGCTCTAGTGTTGTGCAAAATGTTATCGCCGAGAGCACATGTTACACTGAAATGCCGTACCGTGCATTTAGATAATGTAGCTATTTGCGCGAAAATGTGGCGTTGTATGAGTGAATGCCCCTCGTGTCTAGCTGGGCACCGGATTTCATTGATATCTCCTTGCAATCACAAACAAGTCTCACTTGCTGGCTTCTATTCCGAGTAAGATCGTCCCAGCGTTGCTTTTTCCATTTCTGCTAAGAACCGAAATTCGTCCATTAGAGGGAAGGCCGCAAGGAAAGCTGCAGTCTATCGTCTTGACAGACATAGCACCGCGCACTGGATGCTATCAATCAAACATCAGCCCTTTGCGCGTATCAATGCGGCCCAACCTCATCCATCCTCTGCGTTTTTGTATTCATCGCCTACGTTGCCTTCTTCAACCCTCCGTCAAGAACTGACATGACTCTACTGCAGAGTCGTGCAAGTGAAGTTTCGGTGCATCCCATGGCCATTTTGCTGGGAAAACTCTGACAAATCCTGGCTCGTCCTCAACCCCCCTTCTCCTACCTTTAACTTCACCTTTCCACCGTTCTCTCTGCCTCATCATGCCCTCAATTTCACGCCTCATGTCACTATCATCCCGCAACCTTTCAATGGCGTCTCCGCGCACAACCCCTCGATCTCCATACTGCTCTCTCATCTTTTCCCGCAGCCTATCAATCGCATCTACTCTGTTCCTAGGGTCCAATTTAGGCATTTCTAGAGGCTCAAACCGTCCTAAAGTTTCTCGGCGGTTTCTAACTTTCTCTTGCATCCGTTCTTTTCGTCTCAGCGTGACGTCATCCAACGCTTCCTTCAACGCCTTTCTCTGTTCCGAGTCAAATACGGATCCAAGCAACGTGTTCCTATGCTGCAATTCTATCACAGGCATCGCAAACGGCTTAATGCTATGCCAGAACGGTTTCCATCCCCCCCACGCCGGCTTGGGCCTTGAACCTTGATTGTACAGCGTAAGCGACCCGCCTGCAAATATGCTCTTAAATTCCGTAACGCCTAAGACAGGAATCCGTAGAGTGAGTCGTGCCCGTGGCACTAGTTGAATCTGGAGAAAAGGAAATCGACTCGACTCCAACCCAAAATATATCGCAGAACCTCCTTGACAGTACGCCTCAAGCGCCATAGAGCATCGCAGATGTTTACCCATCGGCAAGCGAGCATCCAAACCAAGGCCGGGTTCTGGCCGCACCAGCATGCGAAGCGTCGGTAATACGCTCATGACCGTAACGTCTCTATGGACAGAAGCAAGACTCAGCCCAGTGTGTCATCCAAGAACGTACGCATCTTCCGACGCACAGGGAGCAGTGAGATCACAATTCATTAATTCATTCAATTAATTCTGTATACGGTACCATTGGTACAGTAACGGTACAACTAGACTAGAGAAGGGTACATCAAAACGCAGGTGAAAACAGAATCAACAAGTATATACAGCACTCATGCTCCACTGACGACGAGTGCCACCTGTGTTTCCGCACAAACCGTGCGCACATTCGCAACTACGGGTAGCAGATTGCGGTCCATTCTCATGCAAGTAATAGAGTACAGTCCCACCGCCAAGCGCCTAGACGCAGTATATTTGACATGTAATCCCCCAACGTGCGGAACCATTAACGGATTCTCCTTACCATCTGCCATCAGAAGATGGACGCAGCGATGCGGTAGAAACGCTCGCTGTCCCACATCATCTTCTCAGTTGCCTGGAAACTGTATCTGCAAGAGAAGCAGAGTATTCACAGTCAGAATTACGGGGAGGGCCATGTATTGCCAGAACAGGCATTTAGACACATCCTCTCGCAAGTTCGCTCCAAGCACCGGTAGTCTCTCTGCAATGATGCTCACCATGATGATACAATTATTCGCAGTGGGTACAGTCCATTCCACAAGTGCAAACACAGAAAGAAGCGGGTCCTCGATCACCTCTGTCAATCCTAACCACCTATGTGTTTGGCGGCCTATCCACGGGATCAAGATAAGCCGAGTTGTGAAGATCATAGCTATCGCATAGACGCCAAACGTCTCTGACTCTCGCTTTTCATTTGTCGTTTCTGACGTCGATGAATTAGCAAGAGAGCTGTACAGTTCCGCGCCAACTATCATAGAACTAAGCGGGATTGCCACGCCTCCTACCTGCTCAATTGCAAGCCATATTGATCTCAGCGTACCGCCTTCCCCCAAGAACATGCTGGGGATTCCCGGGATCTATAGTGAGCCATCAAGTATGGATGGTCAGTTGTATAATTTCAGTGCACGAGGTCGCGAAAGGGCCGAGGTTTGTTTCACATACACATGCCAGTCCGATTCCGAGGATGACGCTTAACGATGGGGGCGATCCCATCGCTTTCCTAATATTTTCTCCAAGTGACATACCAGTTCTAGATGCCCGGGGCGTTGATGTTCCCACTATTGGATGACTCTCCATGTCATTGCTTCCGGTAGCATCTGGCGCAGCGCTGAGGTATTCAAATATTATGGTCCACTTCAATTCGCATACGCGTATGAGTAATCACATCAGAAAATGTACGGCAAGATGAGAGGGACACAGACAATGTCAAGAGAAAGAGAATTCGCTGATTTCCTGAACTTACTGTGAAAAGCGTAACTACGGTAATGTACAAAGATGCGAATCCCGTCGACCTCACTACACATTTCGGATCATGGTTCAATGGGGCAAAACTGTCGCACAAACTCTGCATGACAAGAAGCGCCATGGTGTTCGAATTCCCAAGTACAATACACGACCACATCACTCTTCTCACTGCCTCCTCCTTTCTCTTCGCAAATAAGAGAGTAAGCGGGTGTGCTATTGCAGCAGTTAGCAAAAAAATAAGAATTGCAGCGGCTAGTGGTACCCAAATGTCTTGCAAAGCACTGCCATTGTGCGATAGTCCATTTTTAACCGTTTCGAGAGTTGCTGTGAATACCAATGCTGGCAGAAAAACTTTGTAGGTAGCTATGGTAGTTGTCAGAAACATGTGTTGTGGTTTTCTATTCCGTTAGAAATGAGAGAGTGTCAATGAAACGAACCATTTGACAAGGCAGTTAGAGTCGATGCAGAGAAATGACCCATGTGTGAGATGAGCGCACCGATGCCACTCAAGAAAAGAATCTTTACGCTTCCGCCGATGCTGGCCTGCAGGACAACTGATGATGTCTCCATTTGCTAGAAGCTATTGGCAGGAGGAGACATGAGGGTAGCACGAACTCTCGAACACTCTACCTTAGTCTACATGTTGTGGGCACTGTCAAGAGCAAGGCTAGTCAAATTTTATCAAGGCCAATGCTCTAGATGTCGCATAGCGTAAACAGTGGCGAAAGCGCCATACGGCTTTCAACCGTTGCTGACGACAATGCCTAGAGTTAATGAATTACGGGTCGCGTGTTTGTAGCAACTTTGCGTCGTTCTAGTGATGTGCGACCTGGCAGGGGCTGATTTAGCCAATCACTTGGATCAACAGTTTCCAGCCACAAACCGAAACAGCTGAGACTTGCACAGCCCGAAGGACCCACTCCTCATCGTATCCCTCTTTTAGATTTAAATGGCACGAGAGGGGCAGCTGCTGAAAGTCGGTTGACAGCACTCTCTCTTCGCCCCGTGTGTCTTATCGCACAAGACGTAGTGCCCCATGCGGAGGCAGGCATTCTATCATGTGTTTTACAGTCAGATATTCTTGCTCTTTCTCGAAACAAGTTGTGTTTATTCAATAACGTTGTACGTAAAGTCACGAAAACGCGTGTTTTGGCGGCAAGTTTGCTCGGATTTTCTGAACGCAAAAGTTTCAAACAACGCGTTTGGCAAAACTCACAGCATACCGAAAACTCAGGGCATGTGAGTTTTCCACGAGTTTCACATCTGCCTGATCACAGCAGTGCCGCATCCGACCCGTCGTGAAGAAAAACGAAGTGGGTCTTCCGTTCTTTTCATCAGCACAAACGAGTCCCAGACTGCACCGATCGTAGCGATATGCGTCATGGACGCCCCTATCCCTTGATCTGCGCAAAGTCGATCAATGGATCAAAGCGCGACAGGATCTGCCAGAGATGCCGCCTAAGCAACCGCGAAAGATAGATAAGTAGAAGCTTCTAAAAGCAGTCCTCTCTAAACGGCCCCCTCAGCCTGTCAAGAAGACGAAACACATCGCCCTTTCGACTGAGAACGTTTCTATCCTTGTGGCGAGCTACAATATTCGCTTCAGCGAGTATTCGCCCAGGTGCACGTGATCCGTCGGGCGGCACAACGATATACCAGACTTCCGTTTGTTGCGGGCAGGTACCTTGCTGGAGGTCAGTCCGCAAAACTCGTGGTGGGCTTTTTCAAGCTCGGGTTTACTTTACGTTCTGCGAGTTTGTGGGCAAATGGAAAAAAACAACGCGTTATTTTACGGACAACGTTAATGAATATAGTCAAATTTCACTGGAGAACGTTTCACAACCAACGAAGACGTCTCTTCCTACTACCCTGCTTCTTCGCATGACTACCACATCAGTGCGACTTGCGCTGCTGCAGTGCATATGTGCAAGCCGTTTGGGCTATCTCAAAGTTTTTAGGAATTAAGCTTGTCTATATTTTCCCGACTTCAGACTGTGGCATTCACGGTTTAAATGTGCACAAAACTGTGCGAGAGTGCTGACCTCAACATTCGGAACTGGACCGCAAACATGACATCACCGCAGACCATGCATAGATACGGCCAATTCTTCTCCAAGACCACATGACTACCTTCGCACTAAAGAAATCGGAAGACCGGCTTCATACCGCTGGCCCTTCGCAGCAGCACGCGAAAATTCTGCCCAGCCACTGCATGATGCGACTGAATCTGCGTCACACGCCAGTCTGAACTCAAATCGCCGATGCATCTCTGCAAGAATTAAAACACCTTCGTGATCAGCCAGAAAGCGGCCGGGGCATGCTCTGCCTCCAACACTAAACGGAACGTAGGCCCCAGATGAGTTTTTCTCTCCCTCCCGGTTCGGCTCTCCCCACCGTTCTGGTGAAAACAACTGCGGTTTGTTCCACACATTACGATCCATATGAGATCCTTGTGACAGAGCCACAACTGTTTTTCCCTTCGGTACAAACGTACCACTCCCGGACAAATGGACATCTTTAACCGCTCTTCTTGCAAACATGGGGCCAGGCGGATGTTTTCGTAAAGTTTCCTTCCAGACATTTCTTAAGTACTTCAGTTTGCTGACTTCATCGTGACTCAAATTTTCATGGATTGATTTCTGTGGCAATAGACGCTGCAATTCGTCGTGGATGTAGTGAGCAACACTAGGATTGCAGCATGTTTCATAGATGCTCCATGCGAGTGTTTCTGAGGTAGTATGGGCTCCTGCTACCGCGAAAACTACGACTTGAGAGGTCACCTTATCGACGTCTGCTCTTTCTAGATCTATTATTGCGTCTAACAGGTCCTGCGGGCGACGACGGCTCTGTTCTTCAGTCTCTCCAAGTCTTTCAAGAATGAAGGTTTGACAAAACTCGTTCACTTTTTGACTTGCATTGAACAAACGACTTCTAGACCCAAAATTCGAAAGCCATTGCCGCAGCGGGTGGCCAACAAAGTCAAGCATCATCTCATCTACAAGGCGATCGGTGCACTTCGCAAAATGTAAGCGCTGCTCTCTATCAAGATTGCAACCAAAGGCGACGTTTAGAATGACTCTGAATGCAGCAATAGAGAGCTGCTCGGAGATATTGAAAGGCGCAGACAAAATGCCCGGCGGTGTTCTCTCCTCAATATCGCTGAGAACTTGACATAATTCCACAGCCGCATCGGTCATGTGCAGGTGAAATCCCTCCAACAAAGTGAAGTTGAAATTATTTCTGAGATGCCTACGTGCCACCGCGTGGAGGTGCCGAGGTGTGCAGACGAGACTGCCGGGGACAACAGCCTCAAACATGCGCTGCATAGCCCTTGGCCTCTCAAAAAGATGAGTAGCAGATAGAATTTGGGCGACGTCAGTCGGTACAGAGGTTATGACGGTGTCCAATGGGCCCAACCAGAGTTGGAAAACATTGCCGTATGTTTTCGACAAAGCGACGATGACCCGCAACATTTTACTTGGATCCCGGTACAGCGGAAAGACAGTGCCATTGGGAAGGTATTGGCGGAAGTTGGGTCCAGGTAAAAGAGTGAAGCAAGATCGGAAGCACGAAGCCCGATGAAGGCAGAGGAGCACAACAAGCACTGCGCAGCTCAGCCATAGGAGCATGGTCTCTGAGATGCTGTTGCCAGCAACATTACCGGATGCGAGCGTGCACCCACCGTACAGTACAAAATAGATACAGTAGGTCTTTCTCGCAAAGACTGGGAAACTACGCAATGACGGGTGAGGTGTATATTGTTTGATTGGCATCGGATGGGACTAACGCTTACAATGCGCGACTGAGAATTTGGCAATTAATTAGCACAATTTGTAGCCATTTATTTTTCGGGTTGGAAGTGATTCATTACAGAACTATTCAATCGCACTGTAGTCATTGCCTCATATATCAGCATCGGGGTCGCGATCTGGCATTCCAGCTCTGTGCAACTGCAGGGACATGCGCCTCGCACGCTTCCGACGATAGCGCTCCTGGGACTGCCGTCGGCGCTCTACTTGTTCCACACCGATGTGCAGCTGGCGATTTTTCACACGCTGATATCGATCCAGGTCTTCCTGCCGAAGTGGATGCCAAGTAATGTGCAAATTAGTCAGCTCAGCACATAGCTGAAAAATAGAATCATAGCTGCTCTCAGACCACTTCCATTTGCTGGAGACAACCGCCCATAGACCACACGCCCTACCGAACCAGTTCTCTACAATTATCCTGCCTGACGAGATTTTCCTGTTAAACCGCTCGTCATCGACCGACAAACAGGCATTCTGCGGTTTCTTTTTTGGGCTGACTAAGCAAACAACCTCTGCTCTGCCCTGGTACCCCTTGTCTGCCAAAATCGCCCATTGCCTTGGATACTCACCTGCCAACAATCCAAGATCTGTTACATGTCTGTCACTTCTCGCCTTCCTCACATTCACGTCATGAAAAGCCCTGTTTTCTTTAAACATTTCCAGGTCTGACACTGACCCGGGCACATGCTCTGAACAGCCGATAGCTAAACCATTTGGGAGAACTGAAACCTCCACCTTGTAGCCGTAGAGCTTATGTTTTCCGGAGAAACTTTTTTCCCTCCTGCATGTTGCCACTAGGCCGGTTGCACATCTGAAAAGTGACATCTACATTTTAGCGAGCGAACGAAAAGTGCTTGAAAGTAGACTTTTCTTTCAGCATTTCAGTCATGGAGTACAGCTCCCCTTTTTTGAGCGACAAGTGTATCATACAGGTGCGTAGAAATCGTGTTCACAAAGCGCATTATGAGTCTTTCGAAGGTGGGACCCTTCAAGGAAAAGAGATTTGCCAACAAATCCCACTGCTCGCCGTGTGTTAGGGTAGTGAGCGTCATAAAAAAGACGTCCTTTGCAGAATGCGGTGACTTGCGCCCTCGACCACAATTGTAGTGGGTTGTGATAAAATCTCTGTAGTTTGCCCAATTGATTGTGAACTCCTCTGGATCAAAATTGATCATGCTCACAATTGCTCGCCCTCCGCCGCGCTCGTAGAACTGATCAAAGATCGGGCTGTCAGAGTCGCTTTCTTCATCTGAATCGGAGACGTCAGGCTGAACTGAGAATTTCTCAAGCTCGTTCTGACGCTCCACTGCAGCGTCAGCAAGAATTTTCAGAGCGTTGGCGGCGTCAGCTGAGAAATAATTCTGCATGTCGGTGTGCCGGAGTCAAGAGAGCAGAGGCCGGAACAGATCAGAGGGGCAGGAGGGGGACAGAGGAGCGGGTCGGCGTTGCAGGGGGGATGAGGAAGCAGATCATGGGAGCGAGAGGGGGTGGAGGAGCGGATCGGGGGAGCGAGTGTGGGGTGGAGGAGCAGGTCGGAGGGGCAGATGACAGATGGAGGAGCATGTGGGAGGGGCGAGTTTGGGGATTGTGGAGTAGATTGGGGGGCCGGGGGTGTGTGGCGGCTCCGATACGGGCGAAGGGGTTGTGTTATTGTCGAAAGACTTGGGCATTTGACAAAAGCCTCGGTCAGGGAATGGGGTGGCCTGAGGCTGCTCAATCACAATAAGCTCATGAAGCTACCACGTAATTGTGGTCGTGCTGCCCCTTGCTGTAGAATAGCTGCGTACTGAATTATGGCACTGTAAATATGTACTGTTGGAAACGTATCCAATTGTGGATGTATTTTATTGATGATGATTGATTCTTACGGCTTATACCCCATAACTACGTGGAAGGCCTAGTGGACCGTGTCGAATAGAGCCCCCCCTGCGCATTGAAATTGTCGGGAGATCGCAAGCGGGGAATTCCGGAGGGGTTGTTGAGGTGTGCGTAAAGGGTTGGTAAATAGAGTTACCCTGGGAAAAGGGAAGCACGAGGCCAATACAGTACGTACCCCCAATAGTGCACCCCGTGCCATAAGCTATAGATACGCACTACTGACAGCGCGAACTAATGAAGGTTTGTCCACAGGTCACGGCCCACCGGCCACAAAATGCTCCGATATGATGGTTGTGGTTCCATCCAGAGTCAAGTAAGCAAAGCACACACGATAAGACACAGCCATTAGGGCACGCTACTCACATTTGCAGTAAAACTACCGCCGGCCGCCCGCTCTCCAAAGGATCGGGGGTCATCGGTGTTCCTGGAATCACAGGTTATGGGCCATACGCAACCGCTGAACACGATCTGTCAACTCCGAACAAACCCCCACCACGGCAGACGCTAACAGGCACGCAAAAGCGCAAGACGACGAGCCGCACTGCAAGAAAACGCGTACAACACAAGCGGTCTCCTCCGCCTCGTCACACCGCACACAGAACCAACATCCAACACACCATGACTGACAACCCCAACACCCATGGCACTCTGCCACAGCTAACCCTTACGAATTATTCATTCTGGTACGATGCGCTTGAGATACATGCGCGAACGATCAACGCCCACACCACCTTGGTGACAACGATGTTACCCACCTCTGACCCAGTCCAACAAGCCGAACAAAGCAAGAAAGCAGATCTCATACGGAAAGCCATAACGCAGAGTCTAAGTGCCGAAGTAGTACAATTCTTACCACCCTACATCCTACGCCACGAACCACACAACATATGCACACTTTTGAAACAAGCGGTGGACACCTGCTCCATCGAAAATCATGAGCTGCTGGACACAGAAGCACGCAAACTCACGTTCACAGCAGACCAAGAATTCAAAGACTATGTGCAGAAACATCGTGAACTAAGGCATAGGATGCAAGTCCCCGGGTACCCCAACATCGAAACTGAACGAACAACAGCACGATACATGGTGCAGGGACTTGCCCACCATCCCAAGATGCATGCACTTGCAATAATGCTTGCATGCAACCCACCCACTACCATACGTGAGCTCACCAACCACATTCACCAAGTTCAGCTCATCCAAAGCAACACACCACCAACACATGACCAACAGGCATACAGACACCCCACCAAAATGGGAAAATATATCACCAGACGTAGACAACCCACATCACGCAAAGCAGAGACAAAGCAACGCCACTACGACAAACCCACAGGGCACAAAGGCCACTGGTGCCACCTCCATGGCAGTGTAACGCACAACACCAACAACTGCTTCGCGAGCAGATGCTCCGGCCGACCACAGGCGACTCGCGCGAACCAAGCCACAGCGGTGGACATCAACGAACAACCAGATGCCACCATGCACGACCTCAGCGCACGCCTCCAGTTCCTTGAAGAAGTCATCGCAGAGCAGCAAGAGACCACCGACGGTAAGCACACATATATATTAGACTCCGGTGCTCACCCGACGCACATCGCTACACCACATGCGAGGATGCGAAGAAGCACCGGGACACTAACACAAACCGCCACTGGACAACGCGCACGCATAACACACACCGGCGAAATCATGATCCAGGCGAAGAATGGCAAACTCCGATTACCCGCAGTCCACACACCGCAGAGAACCGAAAACCTCCTGTCAGTACACGATCTCACCAAATACGGCGACGTCACCTTCAGCAAGCACAAGGCAATACTACATACACCCATGACTCCACCGCAAGCCAAACTCACCGCCACATACCGCCAAGGACAATATCTTATCCACTAAGCCAGGCACCAACGGCCAAAGGAGCCCGCACACACACACGCCCACGCAACATGATATCCAAAATAAAACACACACAATAACAAAACGCGCCACTCCACCAAAAATCAACAAGAGCACACAAAGACACACGCTACAATACCGGACACAGGCAAGGAAACAAGCCCCCATGCTGCGCACAGCAACAAAGCCCAAAGAAAAACGCACAAAGAAAAGGGCAACCAAACACCTCCTCCACGAATGGCACTTGAAACTAGTACATGCGCACCCAAAGAAAATATCCATAATGTCCAAACACGGATTACTGCCCCCCTTCCGAAAGGGATAACGGACAGAAGCGCACACATCTCGTGCAGTGGTTGCATAGCCGGCAAAAACACCACCAGACCGCACCGACGAACCCAACACAGCGCCGCAATCGGCGACAGTCTGTCATCGGACGTGTTTGGACCGATGAAACCAACCTCCACCCACATTATCAACTATTTCATAACTCTCATAGACACGGTCTCCGGATATGTCTGGGTATACTGCATGGCCAACGTGTGGCATAACGTGTAGTATAATCACCCCCAACGACGAGGGGGGTGAGTACTGACAGTTCGGAAAGACCCCGATCGGCGGGAAGATAGAAGCACGGCCCACCTACGGTACCGAGCACGGGCTCGAGGTAGCGGTGGTAGACCGGGATCGGGGAGGACGTGTGCACGCGCAAGCGGTTCGACGCCTCGACGCCCCGGAGCGGTACTGGGTGACGATCCAGTACTGACGGGCGGAGGCGGAGCCGGCTCGTGGGCGTGTAGCGTCCGTCCTCAACCCGCGCGCGGTGCTACTCTAAGGTAACTAAAGGAAGTACCTCAAAGTAAGCGGGCGGACCAAGATGGAGGATCCTTGACAAGTCCGTGCTTGTCGTCCTCCACCGCCGGCGGTCCGCTCATATTTAATGTACATTGTAGTCTATCATAACTCTACAGTAGTGCCAGTCTACCGACACTGTAACGCTGTCAGCCGGCGGGGCTGACAGTCTACGTGTAGTACGCGTCCCGTACACGTGGAGGACACGTGTGTGCGCGCATGGCTGTAAGGCTCGTTGCCTTACTGTCCCTGATCCGATCCTAATCTAATTTCCGTTTGGGGTTATACCACATCACCCCCCCTCAAGAGTGAACGTCCGCGTTCACTCCTGAGGCTTGTAGAACCTGTGCGTCACCTCCTCGCAGCCGAGCGACAGCCATCCTTACCGCCCTCGTGATCCCCTGTCCGTCCGTGCTGGGTGCCTTCTGCTTTCCGTTTTCAGTGAGCTGCG